CAAAAAATTTGCCTATGAACTAAAACAACTTGAACATAAATATAGTAAAACAATCAAAAGCTCATATAAAGACAACAAACCCAATCAAAAGTAATCAAAACTTAAACATAGATATAGTGAAACAATCAAAAGCTCATATAAAGACAACAAAACCAATCAAAAGTAATCAAAACTTAAACATAGATATAGTGAAACAATCAAAAGCTCATATAATCAAAGTGAAAAGTCCTCTCAAATGACTCTCTTGAGAGAACAGATCCAAATAAATACGAAATTAACAAATAAAAATGTATAACCAACCAAATGCAATATAACAAAGTGTGGAAAGTGGAAATCTCCATCATCGACTAAAATTCCCAATCCATAATAAACAGAGGGAAGATAATATCACATCACATCAACATCAAAAAGTAAAGCAATGCGTATGAAACCAATATCACAAAGAAGGAATTAAAAAAAAAAAACAAACAATCTGTGTATGAACAAGCAATATCAGAAAACAAGGAATTATTAAGAGTAAACAACGATCGTCCATAATCTTAAGAAATCACAGAATTGAAAGCAAAGTCATGAAAGAAAAATAAACAGGTAAGTAAAGAAAAAATTCACAATCGCAGAGAAGAGAATCCACATAAACTACAAATTTTCACACCATTTCTCATAACGGCGAACACAATCACAATCAAACCAAAAAAATCCACAAAGATCGATATAAGAAAGAAAAAGAATGGAATCGCAGAACTATAAATACCCTAGAAAACGAAATTATCACACCATTTTTTGTACCGACGAACCCAAATCACAATCAGAGATTTGATAAATTGACTGCAATTAGAAATAGGAAGATCGAAATCAAATAGGAGACGAGAACCACAATCTCGTTGTGGTTATAACAACGACGAAGAACAGAGAATCTGGTTCTTAAGAAAATTACTTGCAAATTAGAAGAAATCAGAGACAAAAATATTGAAGAGTAATCATAAAACTGCAAAAGCGATCTACTCCTAAGTCCTAACAATACAAAACCCTAACAAAATTCAAAATGCCGAAGAGGAAGGAAGAGAAAAGCTTATATAGATTCATCGCTTGAGTACAATGGACGACTAGGATCAAGTAGATTGTGATGCATATGGACGGTCGAGATTAAAAGTTCTAATCGACCGTTCAATCCAGCTTCTTCTCCTATTAAATTACTAATTTGCCCCTTATTAATTACCATCACTTTGAATTGTTTGTTATGAGATGGGTCCCATCAGATATTTGAATATCTATCACATGCGCTCCTTTATATTTTAATTTGAATTTGTTAAAAAGCATACAATAAGATTTCCTTTTTATTTTTAACTCTTTGACAAAATCCACAAAAATCTATTCAGATCAACACTGCTTCCAAGTTCCAACTACTGAAAGATTCGGCAAATTAATAAAAAGCTTCAACAAAAAATCATAAATAACCATGGGGTCTATAATAATGTGAGGATTAAAACAACTGTTTTAACGAAACAAGCTATAGAAGATGAAATAATTTAGCGCACACACAATTTTTGGGTGTGACTGGTTATACATTATAGAAGAAAAATAAAGGATAAACAAATAGTTCTTCTGTATTCTACTAAAAATAAACCAATCAAGTAGAAAAGAAAAGATTTACTTTTCTTCTCAGTGAAAGTCTATGAATTTCCCTTCATATTCACAGGATACGTACATGGCTTTATATAGCCTTAACAGTTACACAAGATCAGGGGAGATTCCACAAGATCAGGAACTATACAAACAGAAATAACAGAGTCCGAAAAATATGTAACAGAATATATTTTATGTCTATCACCCTCCCTCAGTCACAGCGTCGGATGAACGGTGAGGCTGGATCGAAATTCGTTGTGTAGCGATGTCGGTAGGCCCTTTGTGAAGATGTCAGCGTATTGGAGGGACGTTGGGACATGTAGAACTTTCACTTCTCCAATAGCGACTTTGTCACGCACAAAGTGTATGTCTAACTCAATGTGCTTTGTACGCTGATGCTTCACGGGATTGGTGGAGAGATAAACCGAGCCTATGTTGTCACAGTAAACCACGGATGCACTTTTGATTGGACGATGAAGTTCTAACATGAGATTTCTTATCCATGTGAGCTCAGCGACAGTGTTTGCTACACCTTTATACTCAGCTTCCGAGCTTGATCGTGATGGTGTTGGCTGTCTCTTTGCCGACCAAGAAATGAGATTAGGCCCAAGGAATACGCAGTAGCCGGATGTTGAACGTCGAGTGTCAGGGCATCCTGTCCAATCAGCATTGGAGTATGCCATGAGAGTATCGATTTGACCACGAACCATCTGAATGCCGTAGTTTAGTGTGCCTTTGATGTAGCGGATAATCCTTTTGAGGGCTTGAAGATGTGGCTGTCGTGGATTTTGCATGTATAAACAAATCTGATTAACAGGCTAAGAGATATCTGGGCTTGTCAAAGTGAGATATTGCAATGCCCCAGCAGCTTACGGTAATACGTCGGGTCTTCGAGTACGTCGGCGGCATGGATAAAATGTTTGGATTTGAGGTCCACCGTGAGTTGCAAGTGGTTTGCAGTCCGCCATTCCAGCTCGTGTAATGATGTCTTCAGCATAGATGGTTTGAGACAAGAACAAGCCTTTTGCATTGAAATCCGCCTTGATGCCGAGAAAATGACGTAGCTGAAGAAGGTCCTGCATGGGAAATTAAGATTTCAGTTTGTTGATGATGCGTTGAAGGAGACTTGTTGTAGAGGCAGTGAGGAGTATGTCATCAACATAGAGTAGCAGATAAGCATAGTCACGATTTTTCCTGAAAATGAACAAAGAAGAATCTGCTTTGCTTTGAACAAAACCCATTAGTTTCAGAAAATTTGAAAACTTTGAGTTCCAAGCACGTGGTGTTTGTTTTAAACCGTAAATCGCTTTGTTGAGTTTGCATACATGACGAGGGTAATTTGAATCAATGAATCCCGGAGGCTGATGCATGTACACAGTCTCCTCAAGATCTCCTTGCAAAAACGCATTTTGAACATCTAATTGATGTATCGGCCAATCCAAAGCAACGCCCACGTTAAGGACTGTGTGTATCGTCACATGCTTAACAACCGGGCTGAAGGTCTCATTGAAATCGATTCCTTCTTCCTGCGATTTGCCATTGGCAACCAACCGAGCCTTATAACGAGATAAAACTCCATCAGCGTCATATTTATGCTTGAATAACCACATAGAACGCACAACATTTACATTAGGAGGCCGAGGTACCAAGTTCCAAGTCTTGGTCTTAAGCATAGCACCATGTTCATCAGTCATTGCGGGGTTCCAGTTAGGGTCTGATAAAGCTTGAATATGGCTGCGAGGAAGAGGAGATTTTGTTTTGGTGAGGAGTGAAAGAATTTGTTTTGGTTTGGTAATGCCGGATTTCGACCTTGTTTGAACCGAATATGGGTTTCGGAACAAGGGGTCTGGACGTGTGGGCTTTGATTGGGCTCTAGGAAGGATGGGCTAAGATGATGTTGTGGAGAAAGGAGCTTGAAGTATTGACTGAAACAGAGGTGATGGTTCGTCAATCACTTCTAAGAAACGATAATTATCGTTTTGTAGTTTTTGTTCAGCTGCAGGAAATTTCTCCTCATCGAAATAAACATGACGAGAGATTATAATTTTGTTTGTTTTCAAGTCCATACAGCGATAACCACGATGTTGAGAGGGATAGCCGAGACACAAACAGGGAGTCGATCTCGGTGACAGCTTGGGAAGATTTGAGTGATTCAAATTTGGGAAGCACAAACAGCCGAAAACCCTAAGATGTTCATAAGATGGTTCTGTATGAAAGAGAAGAGTGTGAAGGATTTGATTTTGAATGGCTTTTGAAGGATTGATGTTAAGAATATGAACTGCAACATGAAGTGCTTCAACCCAAAAGGTTTCGGGCAAGCGAGCTTGAAACAAGAGAGTTCGAATGGCGTTGTTGATTGTGCGAATGATCCTCTCTGATTTTCCATTTTGCTGGGAAGTGTGAGGACATGAAAACCGAGCATTGATTCCATGGGAAGCAAAATAATTTTGGAACTCGGAATTATTGAATTCTCCACCATTATCACATTGAAAACTCTTGATTTTAGTATTGAATTGAGTATCGACATAAGCTGCAAAGTGAAGAAATTTGGAGAAAACTTCACTTTTGCGGCGAAGAGGATATACCCAAAGATAATGAGTGAATTGATCAAGAAAGAGAACATAATAACGAAGACCACTGATTGATGAAACTGGAGATGTCCATAAGTCTGAATGAATGTTTTGAAACGGTGAGGAAACCAAAGATTTAGAAGCCACAAAAGGAAGTTTTATTGATTTTCCTAAAAAACATGGTTCACAGGAAACAGGAAATTTTCCTTTATCACAAAGAGAAGGATGCGATTTAAAAATAGACTTGAGAGAATCCATATTGGTATGGCCGAGTCTCTTATGCCATAAGGCAGGTGTGGAAGCCAAAAGAGCAGTGGAGGCTGTTGGTATTTTATTGAAGGAAGCAGGAAGGGAATAAAGATCACCAGAGCTGTCACATCGGAGAAGAGCTTTCCGACTTTGAAGATCCTTCACAGTAAAACCAAAAGGATCAAAATCCACAGAACACCAATTGTCTCTTGTGAATTTGCGAACAGATATTAAATTCTTAACAATATGAGGAGTGACAAGAACATTGTTAAGTTTCAGAGGTTTGGTGTTTGTGCGAAGGAAAGAGGAACCGGTGGATGAAACAGGGATGGAAGAACCGTTACCCACAATGACTGATTGACCGGTATTATGATTAAGAGTAGAGTGGACCATACCTGGGTTTGTGGCTAAGTGAGCAGAGGCGCCGGAGTCCATATACCAATCGGCGTTAGAGGGATCAGGAACAGATTCCGAGGTGTAGGCTTCATCCATTTGTTGGTACTCAACAAGATTAGCACTTGTGGTTGGAGGAGGAGGCCGTGGAGCTTGTGGCCAGCCTTGATAGTGTGACATCCAGTACGGCGGTGGTGGTGGTGGTGGCCAATACGGATTCGAGTTCCAAGTGTTGTAGGAGAATCTGCCTCGCTCTCGTTTGTTGAAGCCACCTCCGCCTCTCCGATTGCCCCGTTGATTGTGTTGCGATGACGTGTTGAGAACTGTGGCTGCTGCGAAGAAGTGGTGGTGAGAGCGGTGGAGGAGGAGGAAGTGTCTGCGTGTGAAGCAGAGGCACGAGATGGTTTCTTGAGGCGCGTCTCCTCCCACTCTAGCATCGATTTCGCAGAATCAAAAGATGGGAAGGGATCCTTGTGTTTGATAACGTTGATGATGTTATCAAATTTGTCGTTGAGTCCATTGATGATGTACATCACGAGAGTTCTGTCGTTGACCGGTGTGCCAACGTTTGAGAGAAGATTTGCAGTGGACTTCATCTTTTGACAGTATTCGGGGACTGTCATATCACCGATCTCCATTGTGCGGAGCTCGTTATCAAGCTGAATAGCTCTAGCGTCTCTGTTGTTGCGGAACTGGTTTTCCACTCGTAACCAGAGATCACGGGCAGTGCCTCCGGGCTGGAAGGAAGAACGAAACAGGGGCTGGGCCATCGTGCCATAAAGCCAGAGCTTGACAAGACCATCGCGTTTAAGCCAGGCGTGATCATTGGCATTGGCGGGCTGCAGTGAACCGTCGAGATGTCCGGAGACATCAAACGCCATGCAGTGAGTAGGGAGGAGCTCTCTCCAAGCATCATAGTTATGCTCGTTTTCATCAAGGTGCACTGGAATCTGATTTTTGATGTTGGTAACACCATAACATCGTTCGTTTTGATTGTTAGCAGCAGCCATTAATGGCGCCAATGAAGGAAACAGAAGAAGAGGGAAGAAGATAGAAGAGAAGAAAAGAAAGGGGTCAAAACCGTAGAAGCTCTGATACCATGAAAGTCTATGAATTTCCCTTCATATTCACAGGATACGTACATGGCTTTATATAGCCTTAACAGTTACACAAGATCAGGGGAGATTCCACAAGATCAGGAACTATACAAACAAAAATAACAGAGTCCGAAAAATATGTAACAAAATATATTTTATGTCTATCACTCAGTTCTTCCAAAAAATAACGTAAAATGAAAAAACTTTTCAATTATAAAATATATGGTATACAAAATTCCTCCAGTTTGTACTTTTATTTTCTTCTGTTTTCTTCTAATTATTTTCTTCTTTTTTCTTCTAACATTTACCAGTCATAGTCTTTATCTCAAAATCGTATATTGCATTAATCAGTGAAATTACAAAGAAATAAAAGATGAGGGTCCGTAACCGAAAA